AAAAGAACACCAGAGAGATTAGGTCATTAATTTTTAATTTTCTAATTAAATGATACTAAAAGTTCCTAGTTTTTCCAGCTATGGCAAAAGCCCATAACACAAGGAGCAAGTTTCTCTTTCAGCCCCAGGAGAATGGTTTTTTTTTGCTTCCTGTTCACAAATGCACACAGGCAGTCTGCATTTGACTCAGCCCCTGGCTGGATAAGCACCCAGCTCTCCCAATATCACTGGCCTCATACTTGAGCCTCTCTATCCACAGAAGCATTTTCCTGTCTTCCCTTCCCTCTGGCATTATTTGGAAGAAAGAGCTCCAAAACCAGGAGAGACTTCAGAGGTCATCTGGTCAATCAGTTCTCTCATAAATGAAGAGATATAGGCCCCGACAAGTGCTAAGTTTGCTGCCTAGGATCACAGAGCCACTAGAAAGAAGCATGGTTGGCCAGAGGTAGCAAATCTGTTTTCTCAGTGCAGAAACCACAGCTCTTGGGAAATAAGTAACACCAAGAGAGGTTGGGCTTTTGCCCTGGGCTACTGGGGGGTAGTCTCTAGAGCCCTGGAATGTCTGGCCTGATTGGAGTCTCTCTGTTTGCCTGGGGGCTTTGTGATATCTAGCAATATGATTTAGGATGGAGGCTGTGGAAAACACCATGTAACTTCTCACCCTGCCCACCCACCTGGAGGAACAGGAGACTAAAGGTCAGTCATGTAGCGACAGAACCCAATAAAAACTCTGGACACCAAAGGCATGGGTGAACTTCTCTGGTTGGCAATACTATTGCCATAACTGGAAGGAAATGACACCACTCATGACTTCATGGGGAGAGGACAACCAGAAGCCTCACTTCTGGACCCCTCCCAGGCACTGCCCTATGCAGCTCTACTTTTTTCTGTTTTTGATTTGTATCCTTTTGCTGGAACAAAATGGTAATCCTAAATTCAGAGCTTTCATGAATTCTGTGAGTCATTCTAGTAAATGATTGGAACTGAGAGGGTGGTAGGGACCTCTGAATTTGTAGCTAGCTGTTCAGAACTGAGGGTGGTCTGCAGAACCCCTTGGTGTCTGAAGGGAGGACAGTCTTGAGCAGGTCTGTGCCCTTCACTTGTGAGGTGTGGCCTGACTGAGTAATTAGTGTTGGAAGTCAAAACAGCTCCCTGTTCTACCAGCTTCTAAATGACAGAAATCCTGGATGCAGAGCCCGCAGGCCCAGGCCAACTGAACAGCTGGAAAGAAGGCTCCCACCAGTGGGCACAGGTCCTTCTTCAGTATAGTGTTCCCTACAGGGACACATTCAGAGGGATCTGCGAGTGGGAGAGATGTGGGCTGGGCAAGATGGAGCTTCCAGACTTGTGAAGCTCATGCAACAAGACCATTCTCTTCTTTCATCTCACTAGAGGCTCAGGAGGAAGGAGAGTAGACAGGGGAATGAGTTAGAAAACTTATGCTGCACCCTCATTCGATCTAGTTACGAAAACGCCCTACTCCTCTCTATTGGCCAGCGACCTCCACTTGGGGTCAAATGTAAGCATTTCCTGTTAAGCAACCCAACTCATCATCACTCACGTATTCCTTCCAAAAGGACTTAACCTGCATCTAACTAACCTGAATGTGCACTGCTTATTTAGATCTACCTTGCAACTCACCGAAAATCCAGTTGGAGGAATTAGTGTAATAAGATTAGGAGGAAGCAGTTAGATATATTTAAAAGGTGTCCATAGGAAAATTGGATTGGTGTCTTCACCAAGTCAATGCCATTAAAAAAAAAAAAAAAAAAAAGCCATGATGAACTGTGATAGAATAAAAATAAAAAATTGAAAGACTCATATGCAAATGAAACACTATTCCTTGATTTACACAAACTAGCAGGAAAGTCATGTTTGCAAAAATTAGTGAAATCTGAATGTGCACTGCTTATTTTTAGATGATACTAAGTTTTTATTAATTATTTAGTTTTGATAATGGTCCTGGGGCTAAGGGGAAAAAAGGTTATTTTCCAGGTAAATTATAATGAAGTCTATATTTACCTTTAAAACAATTCAGCTTTCTTTGTTTTATAGTTTTGACTTTGGAACCATGTAAATATTTTATACAATTTAAAAATTTTAAATGTTAAACCCCTAAAAATAAAAATGAAAATACTAAATGGACTTAACTGTAGGGCAAGTTGGAATGTTAATGACACAGAAAAGGGTTATTTTAAGTGGCTCTTAAAACCTAATATTTTGATTGTACATGCCAAGGACAAAAAGAACAAAGAAATTTTAGAGTTAATTCAGTATTGCTATTAATAACATTGGTACTGTTATTTTAAATAATTAACAAAATCACTCATTTGCTTTATCCCCTAATATATATATATATATTTATCTATACTAAAACAAGGGTAATATGCAAATTGGTCACAATATCCTCACAGTAACAATCAAACAACAGGTTGCATGGGGCGACATGGCCCACAGTGGGGTTAGTGAGGGATGACCAAATGACTGACCAGCAGGCTGCATGGGGTGACCAGGTCGGCAGGGGAGACAGTTAGGGGCAAGAAGGCTTGCACAGGGGGGCAGTTAAGGTCGACCAAGCCAGCAGAGGGGGCAGTTGGGGGTGACCAGGCCAGCAGGGGGGGCACTAAGGGTGACCAGGCCAGCATGGGGGCAGTTAGGGGCAACCAGGCAGGTAGAGGGGACAGTTGGGGGTGACCAGGCCAATATGGGGGCAGTTAGGGATGATCAGGTTGGCAGGCAGAGGTGGTTAGGGGTGATCAGGCTGGCAGGGGGGGGCAGTTAAGGGCATTTAGGCAGGCAGGCAGGTGAGCAGTTAGGAGCCAGTAGTCCCAGATTGTGAGAGGGATGTCCGACTGCTGGTTTTGGCCTGATCCCAGGCAATTGGACATCCTCCAAGGGGTCCCGGATTGGAAGGGTCCAGGCTGGGTTGAGAGGAGCCCCCACCGTGCACAAATTTCATGCACTGGGCCTCTAGTATATTTATATATAACTATGTAAATACATATTTATTTCTTCTTTTGTATATATATTTACATTTATTCACACAGTATAAATCAAATAATTGTGATAATGTCATTAGGAACCAAAATTTTCAGCATTAAGAAAAATTAGATAAAAATAGAAAAATCCTATAATCTTAAAATGAACTTCAAATTACCAGTATGAATTTATGCTTCATCTCTTTTCCTTAAAAAATTTGTATTTCCTTGTCCTTTGAAAAGAACTAGTAGCACTGACAACATATGTCAGTGAGCACTCAGTGACTGGCTTTACATAGCTTTGTAAATGTAGGAAATGTACAAGATGAGTCTGGAACATTTAAACAAGAAAGCTACCAAAGACTACCATGGTCATCTAAAGAGGACATGGCAGCCAATATACAGGGCTCTCAAGGTCAAAGTTAGGATCTTTTGAGCCTGACAGGAAAACTGCAGTGGATAAAAGGATAATATTGCATTTTAAGTTAACCTAATAAAATAATTCCACATAATAAATTCAAAAGAATAGAATTAGAAAATAATGATTTCTTTTGGAAAATAACAAATTTTTAATTATTAATTAAAGAATGACTGTATAATGAGAATTTTTAATGGGTGGACCCACTGGCAATCCAACAGGCATTATTCACCAGTAAAAGCCCTGAGTGCAGAGCATCACTGATGAAGCATTTTTTTTTTTGCCAAAGAATTGAATCCGAAAAAAAAAAAAAAAAAAGAATTGAATCCGAACCTAATCAAGCTTTTAGTGATAGACACCAATTTACAGGAGGTAGAGGGGACCATATACAATCAGCTAACCCCACAGAAATCCTGCAGGACAAAAGAACTTTTTCTTTAACACATAAATGCCAAGGGAAAAAAAAAGAAAAGAAAAAAAAAAAAAGGAGACTTAAGAGGCATAGCAATCAAGGGCAATGTGTGAGCTTTGTTTGGAACCCAAATAAAAACAAACTATTAACAAAATTTACAACACAGTCATGGAATAGAACTGATAATATAGGATGATGTTAAAAGAATTATTCATTTTTTAATGTGTGACATAAATTATCTTTGAAAGGTGCATAATAAATTATTGACAAATAATGATTTGCTACCCAGGATTTGCTTTACATGACCAAGTGGAAGCAGGATGGAAGGATGAGGTAAAACAGGACTGGCCATATGCTAATGAAAGTACAAGCTGGATGAGAGACACCCAGGCCCTTATTATAACACTCTTTTAAAATTTTTGCACATGTCTGCAAATATCCTTAATAAAAAAATTTTCAGAAGTGCTTCAGATAAAAAAAATTAAAGCGCTAAAAAAGGTGAATGCAAATATGACGAAATGTTAACACCTGTCAAGTTCTAAGCGATAGGACTATGGATGCTTATTTTTTCTCCGTGTTTGGAAATGTTCATAATAGTAAACAAAATTGTAAAGGCACTTAAACCCAGCCAAGACCCAGAGTTAAGTCAGGTTAAAAGGATTTTGACATGTAGCTGCAGACAGACAATTAATGCTGGCATTTACCACTAATGCCCACAGAAAATTAAAAACAAATGACAAAGTACACCAAAAAGCTACAACTTGAGCTACATTACTGGGAAAAGAAAAGAGAGGAGCCGAGAGAAAAGGACTCTCGCTGACAGAACAGGGAAGCTTATGACATCAAGGATCTTCAACTTCGAGTCAAGCCACGGCATGATCCCACGGGAGGGAAGGGGTTTTACAACGGTTAGTCCAGGGCCCCAGGGATGATCAATAAAAGATCTGGCTACACCTTGTGCCCTACAGCCTTCATGCCATGAGTGACGGGGTAGTTTTAAAAAAGCAGCCCAGCCCCACAGAAGCTCCCAAGCTTTTATGATTTGGAAGTAGAAAATGAACCGAGACAAAGCAGGCAGCGTGACTGTTTCTCAGCTGCGCCTGCAGCTGTTGCGAAAGCGCTGCTTCTCGGGAGAAGCTCTAGCTACAGCACGACCTCACGTCCTCTCCCCCGAGGAAGGCTCTGTCCGTACCTGATGATGACACACTGGTTCTCTCTGTCAATGATCATGTTTCTGTACATATTGTCTGCAAGAGCATAGATGTGGGGTGGGTTTTCATACTGGGCCTGGAAAAGCAAAACAAAACGAAACCAAACCATGGTCAGACAAAGCAACAGATTAGATTTTTTTTTTTCTTTCTTGGCCTTGGCTTAGACCACTCTATAGTCCCAATGCTTATAATTATTGTCGTACAGGTTATGTAACACAAGATTTCATAAACTTGTCTAGGTCACGGGGAGTTACACCTAACAAAATAAAGGTGGAATCTGGAGGTGCTGATCTGTCGCTATTTGAGTGATTCAGCCTTCAGACATGCCTCATGCCTTCAGAGGCTCCAGCCCACGCCCTTCCTCCCAGCACGCCTCTGCAGGTGACGTCCCACTGCGAAACACGTGTAAAGGCCCTGGGGCGACAGGGCTCCTAAAAACCTGGGCCTGCTTCTACTAGAATTCTAAATTCCTACACAGTTTTATTTATTTATTTATTTTTAGAGACAAGTTGGAGATGGCTATGAAGGAGGAGAAAACCAAAATTTTCCATAAGAAGAGAACAAGAGGTGTGGTTTTTTTAAAGAGATCAACTGGTTTGGTCAGTTTGTTTCATCTCCTGAGAGGGGAAAAATCCCGGCACTCGAAGAGATTCCCCTGGGTTTTTATTTTGTGGGGTATCTTAGCTCTGCATAAATATAAATCCACCAACACATTCACTGTGTCGGGACAACTGCAGCCCTGCTTTCTTCCGTTTCTTGGCACACACCTCCACCATTCGCTCAAAAGGAAAATGCTAAAAAGAAAAACTAAAAAGAAAAGACAAGTAGAGTCTCATGCACAGGTGCGGTATCATTTACCAACCCAGCATCAGGCCTTATGATACATTGGCTTCCTAATAGAAAGGAGGGCCTGGCCCACAAACTGCCATTCATTGCCAGCTCTGGTAGATCAGAACTGAGTGATGAGAGGGGATGAAAAGAGGGCGCTTGCTGCCTGCACACTTGTTTAGAGCTGGTATTTCCAGGGTCCACGCTTTCCCTCATATTGTGAGCAGGAGACTCCCCAGGGGAACTGCCCAGGGAGGATCGGAGGCTATTCCTGGGACTTGTTGACTGAACAACGCCAAACAGGAACAAGAATACATCCCTGCCGTCACCTTACAGTCAGAAGGGGATGCATGGATGAACCTCAGGATATTGTTTTAAAAAATTTTGCTGACACACAACTGTTCAAGCCTAGATTACTTATGCAGGATTATTTTTAAGACCTCTTTGAAAACAGGGAAATCGATTATAAGAAAGAAAAGAGGAAACAGAAGGAAATGGAGTGAAGAGAAAGCTGTGGGCCTGTAGGGAAAGGTGTGGGCAAGTCATGGTCCAACAAGGCTTTAAAGCTGATTTACTAGTCATACTTGACCTTAGCAAGTGGTTGTTTTTCAAGATGTTTTCCAATCTATGGCCTCATGGAACCTCTCAGTTATCTATGAGAATTATCAGGTGGCTATTTCCTCCACCTGATTCTTCCCTCCCATGAAGCCCCTGAAAGTCATTAACATCTGACTTCAGCTCCAACAGTCAAAAGATTTGAGTACTTAACTTCTCTGAGCTTCAGTTTCCTCACCTGTGAAATGGGGACAGAGAGCAATACAGAGCCAGCATCCAGGGCTGTTGTATTATTTGTCACAAGTGTAAGATAACACCTGGCACTCAGTAAATAGCAATTTTACAACACTCGGTTATCGTTAGCAGTTAAAAAAAAAATTCTAGGGCATTCCTTTAGACAGAACTCTTCAAAAGATGAACAGTCTAAAAGGGACTCGCAGCAACGCTTCTCAGAGCACTGGAAAGAAACACCACCGATGCCCAGCCCTGGCACCCACCCCGCCCGGGCGTCATTGAGAATGCCAGGCCAGCCCGCGCCTGCTGCTCCGGCCCGCAGATCAGGGCACAGGGCAGGGCCCCGCCTCTGCTGACAGTGTGCCCCTTGTGCTGGGCTCCCATAAAGGCAGCATTATCAAAGGTCTCTCGCGTGGCAGCCTCCTTCGGCTCTAGCGACCAGCACCATTCATCTGCCAACAATGGGGTGAGCTCTTGCTCTGGGTAAATTGCCTTCCACTTCAACTGATGAATTTGTGTGGGCTTTCTTTGGTTTGTTTTCCAGGGGTCAGGATTCATGAATGCTCTTGTGCTTCTGCTGCAAAGGAAGGAGCGAGGGGGGAAAGATGCTGGGATGGGGAGGCCGGGGAAGATGCTGGGATGGGGAGCCACGGGATGAAACACATTGCCGGGAATTACAGTTTCCATTTTAGTCCCACAACTGGATTGGCTGTGGAGCTGGGTCTGAACTGGGCCCGAAGACATCTTACTAAAGGAAGTAATAAAAGATTCTTTTTTCATGTTCCAGTTCAGCCGCAGTTTAAGGGTTTGATTCAGACAGAATGATGCCCATCGCCCAATTCATTTTTCAGCCGTTACTGGTTGTTTAGTCTTAGAATTTTATGGCGTGTGTGGAAAGAGAAGATCCCCCAACCAGTAGGTCTTACATCCATGTAACTAATTTCATACGCAATGCTCCAATGTTCAATAGTCCTGTGCTTTCCTGGGCTGCACTTGAAAGAGCAGCACAACATTAAAAATCAAACAATGGCCCTGGCCAGCATAGCACAATGGACTGAGCGTCAACCCGTGCACCAAGAGGTTTCGGGCTTGCTTGATCCTCAGTGGGGGATACACAAGAGGCAGCCGATTGATGTTTCTCTCTCCCTCTCCCTTCTTCTCTCTTTAAAATCAATAAAAACATATTTTTAAAAAATCAAACATGTCACCTACTTGAATAATAACATATTAGTATATAGTAGTTTTATTATAATAACTCATACTAAGGAAATGCAAACATATTGCCAATATCAAGAAAAACTACCCATGCATCAAAGAAGCCAAAAACACTATAGTAAAATCCGTGGCATGTTACTTACCGCTCCTTGGTACATTTCAATTTCTTTATCTCCAAAATATGGCATCTGCTTGAAAGGGTTGACTGAGATTAAGACGGAGCCTATATATGTCTGAATTTATATCCAGTTAAGGTCCATTGTTAATTTTCATAGCTACACATTTTTTAAAAAATAAGTAAACATGTATAATCATGAATTTTTAAATAAAATTCACGAAGAGCTTGTGTACTTGTTTTCTAAAAGATTACAAATAAAGACAAAGGCAATTACCAGCCAGCTCAGATTTTGTTCCTCTCCAGGAAGAGGAATGAACTTAATTACCAAGGTGCTACAAAAAGAAATATTAAATGAATTGGAGCTTATTCCTTTAAGACTGGTGACACACAACTAGAAAACAAAACAAAACAAAACAGAAATGACCAAGGAGTGAAAGAGCAGTTATCATTCCTCTTTTCAAATGCTATTATTTTCCCCTGGGACCTTTCTTACTATTAGGTATACTAAGAATGTATTCATTTACTCATTTAACAGATAGAGGGATCCAAGATGAACTCTTTCGAAGCTTAGGGAACTGAGTTGTATCGATACTATTCAGAGCAGACAATCACAAACCCGTACAGATCAGGCTGAGGGGAAGGAGGTGTTATTTCTGCACGGGAATCCAGGAAGTCCTCTCAGCAGAAACCTGTTCATACTAAGTCTTTTTTTTTTTTTTTTTTTTTAAATATATTTTATTGATTTTTTACAGAGAGAAAGGGAGAGAGATAGAGAGCTAGACACATCAATGAGAGAGAAACATCGACCAGCTGCCTCTTGCACATCCCCTACTGGGGATGTGCCCGCAGCCAATGTACATGCCCTTGACAGGAATCGAACCTGGGACCTTTCAGTCCGCAGACCGACGCTCTACCACTGAGCCAAACTGGCTTCGGCTGTTCTTTTACATGACACATTCTTACGTGCCCAAATACATCAAGTATTATTGTAACGAAAAAACATTTTCATGTGTTCATTCAGCAACCAACTAATTTGAACTGGGTCTCTACAACATGCCAGGTGCTGTTCTAGAAGCTGGGGATACAGCAGTGAACAAAATACACACACTGGACAGAAGTCCCTGCTCTCACAGAGGAAAAAAATTATAAAGGGAAAACACTGAAAAAAATACTAAACCTCACACATACTCAAAATTGTTTCTCTTAATCAATGATTTCCCACTGTTCAGACATTTTGCAGTCGAAGATGTAAATCTATGCGATGTCCTCCCCCAAAGAGAGAAATTTATAAATTTATGTGTTAGGATCCAGGTATCTAATAGAGCAATGCGGTAACTCTGGTCAGAAGGCCTCATTCCCCCAGTCCGGTTCTTCCTGACCTTGGGTAAGTCATATCTGTAAGCTGCAGTTAATGGATGATGGGGTAAATAAAATAGGACCTACTCATAGGGCTGTTATGAGAATTCGATGTTATAAAATGCTTAGCACCATGTCTGACATAGTGGATGCAATTTCCTTAATTTATATACTTTATGATGCATGTTTTATCGCATGTTAACACCTCTGAGATGCAGCTTTGGTACTATTATTGAACACAAATAAGCCAAGTGTTGGATATAAATCATACAATATTTAAAAGTTAATATTTATACACAAAGGCAAGAACGCAGAATGACTCGGTTGCAATTTTGCTTTCTTTTTCACTGACCAGAAAGATCTCTGATTTGAAAGGATTGAACTTGAAACAATAGTACAGAAGATGGGGTAGTTTTAAAAGCACATCCAGATGGAACCAGCAGGGGCAGTCCATGGCACTAAGAGAAAATGAGAAAGAGACAGCGAATCGGAACTGAAAATTGCCAGAGTTACAGAAGAAGGGGCATGAGCAAATGTAATTCCAAGTGCCAATGCCAGATTGGATTAATGGCCTGCTTCTTTTTCGACAAAAATTTAGAACAGATAAATTTATTATTAAAATTATTACGCAAGTAAGAAATGTCTCTAATGCTGTAAACTAAATGTTAATAACAACACTGATTAAACACATACATGTTTACATGGTACTAATATAAGCTCCTAATCACAACTCTGTTACTACTTTAATCCTATTTTTTACTATGAAGAAACTGAGGCCTAGAGAAACTTTAAAACTTGCTCAAAGTCACAAGCTAGTGAGTAGCAAAGCTATGCTCCAAACCCAGGCAAGCCTGGTTCTAGAGCTTGCACTCTTTTTTTTTTTTTTTTTTGAATACATTTAAAAAAATTGATTTCAGAGAGGAAGAGACAGAAACATCAGTGATGAGAATCATTGATCGCCTTCCCTCTGCACGCCCACCACATGGGATTGAGTCCAAAACCTGGGCATGTGCCCTGATAGGGAATCGAACCGCAACCTCCTGGTTCACAGGTCAACACTCAACCATCAAGCCACGATAACTGGGATAGAGTTCACATTCCTTTTTAAAAAAATATATATATTTTATTGATTTTTTTACAGAGAGGAAGGGAGAGAGATAGAAAGTTTGAAACATCAATGAGAGAGAAACATCGATCAGTTGCCTCCTACACACTCCCTCCCCCCCTCCACTGGGGATGTGCCCGCAACCAAGGTACATGCCCTTGACTGGAATCAAACGTGGGACCTTTCAGTCCCCAGGCTGACGCCCTATCCACTGAGCCAAACCGGTTTGGGCTAGAGTTCACATTCTTAATCAATAAGCTATATATTACCTTTATAGAATTAGCAAGTATTGTCTCTATTATTGTTGCTGATACTATTATTGGTAGAGTTGCCAGATTTAGGAAATAAAATAAAAAATACCCAGGTAAATTTGAAGTTCAGATAAACAATAAATAATTTATGCATATATATCCCAATATATATGCTCCAAGCAATATTTGGGACATACTTCTACTAAAACGGTACTTGTTGTTTATCTGAAATTCAAGCTTAATCAGGCATCCTGTATTTTACTGGTAACCCTAAATTGGCAGCACAAGAATCTCCTGCAGGACTGAGGGGTGTTTCAATTAGATTCTGTGATTCTTTGAGTACTAAAAACTCTATCTCTCTTCGTTGATATTTAAAAATATATTTTTATTGATTTCAGAGAGGAAGGGAGAGGGAGAGAGAGATAGAAACATCAATGATGAGAGAGAATCATTGATTGGCTACCTCCTGCATGTCCCACACTGGGGATCAAGCCCACAACCCAGGCATGTGCCCTGACTGGGAATTGAACCATGAGCTCCTGGCTCATAGGTTGACACTCAACCACTGAGCCATGTTGGCTGAGCCGTTGATTTTTTTTCTTTTCTGTATCTTTACCACATGGTAGGGGTCAAATCAAAACTGAATAAATGAGGCTTGGCCCTCATTTGGATCCTCATAATGTAGTAATTTTTACAGTAAACCAAATTTGACCATCCTCGTTTCAGAAGAAGGGGATGTCGGGCTACATTTATCTCTAGGTGAAAACGAACGTGGGCAGGTATGACGTTTCCATGGAGAAGGGTGCTCCTTCCCTTAGTGTGAAGGGAATGCTGTGACTGCCGCCTGTCCTGGACAAACTGGTCACTGAATGCGAAGAAGAAAGAGTGACCCAAGGAAGCCCTGCTCAGCAATCCCTCCCCGCCCACCGAGCCCTTGGTTATCAAATACATGAGTTGGGTTGCGTAAGTTCTCCTAGAGAAGCCAACATTTTTTACTGTGAATGATCCGCTATGTAAGAGATGTGTTGAAGAGTCTTGACTCAGTCGGCTATACACATTCTAATTAAGGCCTGGGAAGGAGACACTCAGAGAAAAAAACTTTCAGATAACTCTAGGCCAAGCCTGAATTAATGACTGAGGTTGAAAGAGGGAAAATTGTAGCCGTTCTCTAAATTTCCCATAAATAATGGGGCTGCCATATTATTTAGGAGGAGTCCAGAAAAATAAAGTTTAGTTTGAAAGGGAAGAAATGAGACAAGAGAATTTAACTTAGATTTAAAAGAAACACACCTATTTTAGGTGCGAGTTTGGCCTCCTTGTTTATCTCACTGCTCATCTTTTTTTCCACCTGGCTGGGTCTGCAGACACCTCAGGGCTTCCCTACTGAGTTGGGTCCCTTCTCTAGACTCAAATACTGCCTCCCACTCCCTACTACATAATTCAGGTGTGCCTTTGGAAAAAGCTGTTTCTATCATTGTCTCTACCACATAATCTTTGGCAATGAAGGTGTGGCCCAAGGTTAATTTTGAAAATGTATGGAGCTACAAAACAAAAATAAAACCAAAAAACGAAAACAAACAAACAAACAAAAAAACAAAACAAAAAAAACCCTCATCAACCAACCAAACAAACAAACAAACAAAAGCTCAGAAATATATAATATAAATGCCATCTTATTTAATAGATTTTGCAAGATGAAAGGACCCAACAGATCTTGGTTCTCAAATGCTTATTGGGGATCTTTGAGTGTACAGTGATCTGCAGCAAGAATGACAGAGAGAAACAATGCCCTGGATTTTTCATAAAAGCTCAATTGATTCAATGTAAGACTGTCCTTTATTCTTAGATTATCTCCTTTCTATTTTGGGAGTGTTAAAATATTTTTTCTTTTATGAAATGTGATGGTGTGAAGCTTCTGTAAGTTTGTTTTTGATGGTCTTATTAGACAAAGATAAAGTTTAACTTAAGAAAAAATGTCAATAACCAATGAATTCCCCCAAACTACCCACACCAACCTAATGGGTTTTCCTGTTTTTATCCCGAAGATGGAGGAGGGGGGAGATGAGGACGACTTGCCTGAAGACTTACGTGGAGAAGGTCAAGCTGGAACTCGAGCCCCTGGCTCCAGCCGCCAGACCAAGCTCCCTCACTGCAGCGTGGTGCCCCCACCCACAACGTGCCTGACTGCCAAGGACCAAACCTCATTCAGAACAACTGCTCTGCCTTCAGCTCCGGTTGGTCTGGCACAAACATCTCAACCCCTAATTCAAGGGCCGAAGTTGCCAAACACACTTGAGTGTGGTCTTTAAGTGAAAACAAGTTTGGAGGAGGCTGGACCAAATGGGCAGAAGGAGCTTTCGCACAGAACCGCTGCCGTCAGCCAAGTGGCTACAGATGATGCCAGGCACAAGGGCAAGGACTGCAATGTTTTCCTCATAGATTTTCGAGGGGAATTGTAAGGAGTGTGGCAATATTCGGGAAAAATGGATGGTTAATCAAACCTTCTTTGTCCTAGGATAAATAGCTGAAAAATGTGTGTGTGTGTGTGTGTGTGTATGTGTATTGGTAAACCATGTTAGCATTTTCTAAGTAGATATTTTTCTGATGTAGAAAAAGAAATGAGCATTCAGGCTGAATGCATTAATAACTGATGGTTCCAAATGCTGATCTTTAAAACAAGACAATGTGCTGGCATTAAATGTAGAAGAGGTCAAATGAGCAATTTTATAATTTCATGTGAAATCGAATCTCTTCTTGCCTTTACTATGCTTAGGAGAGAGAGAGGGGAAAACACTTTTACTTAAAATGATACTACTCTAAAAAAACAAATAATGCTACTCTATCATAATAATATTCCCTTAGCACTGAACTGATACAGAAGGCTTTTATCACTTATCAGAGGAAAAGATTTGCAGCTCCGCCCTTGATAAAAGCACATTGATGCTGAGTTTCTCATTTATCGAGTGGCAGATTTCTAAGACACGAAGTCATTAGTGGTCAACTAACTCATTTCCTTGGTAAAGTACACGATTAGTCAGTCATTGATTCAAAGGCATTAATTCAGAGGCAAGTAATCAGCCCCCTCTGTGTGAGTCACTTCAAAATTCTGCTGCCTGAATATAAAAAGCAAGTCTTAATTGTCAACAAATTTTCAATGAACACGTAATACGGCACTCCGTGCCAAGAACTGTGCAGGAAACTAAAACACACAATGCAAGAGGATCCCATTTTTGCTAGAATTAACAAGAAAGCACACAAATACGCATGCCTATATGCAGATAAGTTGAAAAATATAAAGCAAGAGGATAGAGAGGCACTAACCCTATATGGTGGGATTCTGGGTGATTTTAGTGTTCTCCTTTCTGCCGGACTCCATTTTACAAGTCATGTTAAATAAAAATGTGTTACTTTAAAGGCCTTTTTTTCAAACGTTGTTTTTTAAAAGAAGACATACAAGACACAGTCCTTGTCCTCAACGAATCTTTGGTATGTAAGGATAAATGATCTTGGTGGGGGGAAATGAGCATGGCTGGGCTGCCTGCTGATAATCACTGGCATCACCTTTTTCTTCTCTTATCCAGCTGATCAAAACCCATGTGTCTATGTCAATAATGTAAGAAGGTGAGCCTGTATTCTAAGAACATTCCAATAAGTAATTTGTTCAACTACATTCTGTAGGAGTTAGCCTTTTATGGGCTTGTCAATACACCAATCCTCCATTTAAATAATTTTTCAGGATAACAAGCTTTTGAATTTCTAATAAGCATCTTTACAATCAAATTTTTAGAATATAACTCAGAAATATGGGAGAAGCTTATACACTTGCCTTAGCATATGATAATACTAATGAATGCTTATTGTGTACTTACTGCATTCATCATTTCATTTAACTCTGCAACAGCTCTTGCGGGAGATTTTATTGTCATTTCCACTTGACAGGTGAGGAAATCAAGGCACACAGATGACAAAAGGTCCTCCAGTCACCAGGCCCACGCAGAGTTCAAAGTCAGGTAGCACCGATCTGCTTTCTGCACCCAACGTTTTATAGCCTACTCCTTGCCAGTTTCCATGGGCCATGGATCTTGCACATAAAAGTGATTTAAACCGAAACTGGTTTGGCTCAATGGATAGAGCGTCGGCTTAGGGACTGAAGGGTCCCAGGTTTGATTCCAGTCAAGGGCATGTACCTTGGTTGGGGGCACATCCCCAGTAGGGGGTGTGCAAGAGGCAGCTGATCGATGACTCTCTCTCATCGATCTTTCTAACTCTCTATCTCTCTCTCTTTCTTTCTATTCAAAATCAATAAAATATATATTTAAAAAAGTGATCTAAATATTTTGATGATGATAAGCCCAGAAAAAAATGAGCATATTTCATTTTTTTTTAAAGCAAACAAAATGAAATCTTACAGCTGAATACAAAACTGCTCCCATTCAATTCAATTAAAGGCATGTCTGCACAGGTGTCTAGGAGTCAGCAAAGACTGTTCTGTGAAGGGCCACAAAAGTAATTAACTTAGGCTCTGGGGTCAGATGGTCTGTTGCAACCATTCAACTCTGCCATGGTAGCATGAAAGCAGCCACAGACAAGAATAAAAGAACTGAGCCCGCCTGGGTTCCAATAAAACGTTTGTTCTAAAATGTGCGGTGAACAGGATCCTGTCTGCAGGCGGCAGCCACCAGCCTGATCAATACAGCTCACAAATCCAAATATAGCTGTTAATACTCAAAAGCAAGCATTTAGGGATTTAACTACTCAGATATTTGGTTAAAAAAAAAAAATCAACCCCCCCCCCCCAAAAAAAAATAAAACAACCAAAAAAAAACCTCCTATGGTAAATAAGAAACAGCACACAGCATTGGGAAGAACCAAGTGCCTCAGAATAATGTATCGCTCGATACATACCTGGTGCGCTGAACTCTCCTAATGACGAGACAGGCAGTCCCTGCACAAGTATTGCTGACAGAGACGGGTGCTTCTTACCAACAGGCAAATGAGCAGTGTAATAAGCAGAAGCTACCGATATGAAAACTACGCCCCCAGTGCTTTGGAGGTTAAAGCCTACAAGGTGTATTCCGAGGGTCGCAAAGACTCCACCTGTAATGGTCCTCCACAACACAGTACCTTCCAAGTCGCCAACAGCAAAGATAAACTTGCCGGCGCTACTAACAGATTCTACACCAGTCTTCGCATGTCCGTGACCAACTCTGCAGAGAACTTTACCTAGTTGCACCAAACAAAACTCCTGGATCCTGTAAGAACTTAAGTATCATAGTTCAGTTCTCAGTTTAAAATGTAGTCAACATGCATATGAACCAAATTTCCATTCTGAATTTTTTAAAGTCCCATAAAAAATGGCATCTGGCAGCCCGGCTGGTGTAGCTCAGTGATTGAGCAATGATCTATGAACCAGGAGGTCAGGGTTCAATTCCCGGTCAGAGAACAAGCCCAGGTTTTGGGCTCAATCCCCAGCAGGGGGTGTGGGAGGGTAGGGGAAGGAGGAGGCAACCGATCAACGGTTCTTTCCGCTTATTGATGTTTCTATCTCCTCCTCTCCCTTCCTCTCTGAAATCAATTTTAGAAATATTTTTAAAACAGGCATCTGGCAAGCTAAAATTGAAATGTAAAGGACAACTCAGGAATGCCAAGCATTTCAATAGCTTAGCCTCACTTCTCAGGTTTCCTTTAGTAAACATAAGAATGCAGAAAAACTGACCAAGTTGCACATTTTTTGCAGGGGACAATCTTTTTTAAACTTTTTAAGCTGAGACTTAACTGCTTTGTAATTTGCTATTGACAGAATTCTTTGCAGGTCAGGACTTTCTCTGAGCCACAAGGGGTGAGAGACACCATGTGCGTGGCTAGAGGACGTCATAGATACAGTGTCATGTATTCAATAGATGGATACTGGCTGCATCTTGATTATGGGAAATGCCAGGAAAACAATCCAGCTTCATCTTTGCCCTTCCCACAGCCTGAGCCAAGGGACTAAAAAGTAACAACCACATTCTGAAAGGGTGAAGATGACGTGAGCACAGGCCTTCAGATGAATCTTCTTCTTCTTTTGTTGTTAATCTTCACCCAAGGATATTTTCCCCATTGATTTTGTAAAGAGAGTGGAAGGGAGGGAGGGAGAGACACATTAATGTGAGAGAGACACATCCACTGGTTGCCTCCCACAGGCACCCTGACCCAGGGCTGGGGATTGAACCTTGGGGAGTTCACCAAGAAACCCAGGCATGTGCTCTTGACCAGGAATTAAATCCTCCACCCTTCAGTGTGTAGGCCGACACTCTAACCACTGAGCAACACTGGCCAGGACCAGATGGATCTTCTCACACCAGGACTGAAGCCATGTTTTACTGTGGACACCTCATTTAGAAATGTCCAAAGGAACTAATGAAGGATACAAAAATGTAGTCGTCCATGTATCTCTTCTTCAGATTCTCCACGATGGCGTTCTCTGTGATCTTGGAGAGAAGGACCATGTCATCCACGCCGCTGTGCTTGACGTTGTGGCTCTGCCAGTGGTACCGGAAGGCACCTTTGCTTCCCTGCAGATGGAAAACACACAACTGTTAGGATAGTTTGTTTTCTCCTGGAGTTAAAAAAACCTGCTCATTTCCCAGATAACCCTCACATCAACTGCAACAGAACAGAGTGAACAAAGATTTTGCTATCGATAGACCTGGATTCAAGTTTCAGCTTTGCATGGACAGACTAAGCGAAGAGGGAGAAGTTACCTCAGCTCACTGCACCACTTCTGCTTCTCTTTCCTCATTGGAAAAGTGGGAGAAATGAGACCCACTTTATAGAATTGTTGTAAGGATTAAATAAAATGACATGCATAAAGCGCAGAGCAGGGTCTCGATAGAGTATAGCACAATAAACGATCAACGGCCTCCCACAATTCCTTCAACTGTATTATTTCATAATATTTATCAATGAAAACGAGCAGTGAAATAGGAACTTCCTAGACTTGTTCTGCAATTTCTATGACAGAACTCAGAGTGGGAAGAATGTGTCACACACTGGCTAAGTCACAGTATCATCGTTTTCCCCCTGTAAACTTACCACTGTCAATGGAACACTGGCTTTCTACATTCAAACATAAGCTAGGTTTTGATGAGCGGTCACTGCTATATTAACGAGGAAAGGGACCGGAGCTGAAAAACGATCCAGAATTTGCTTTGGGCAGAAGGACTTCATCTGGCCCTGTGGCCTCCTTGGACAGAGAAAGCAGTGGCCCTTATCTGCTTATCGGAGTTACAACTCAATACCAGGAGTGGCTTCTGAACACCTTGGCCAGCAGGGGTTCCTGTAACTTGGCATTTGTGTTCCTATCCCCCCTCAGGCTCAGGCCCTGGGTGAGGGGGGATGGGAGCACTGTGGTGGCCTTGGGTGAGAGGGGCCCTGGGTGAGGGGAGATGGGAGCACCATGATGGCCCTGGGGGAGGGGGATGGGAGCACCGTGATGGCCCTGGGTGAGGGGGATGGGAGCACCATGGTGGCTGCACTTGGGGAATTCACCATCCACTGAAAGGCACCTAGATATGGATGGATATGTTCATGGATCAGCAACAGTCAGTCTGCAAACACGGGTAAAATGGGTATTCCAGCAGCAGGAGACTCCTTGTCCTGGGAGAGGCAGAAATAACTTCTTGGAGAAGGTGCCATTGGATGTGGATCTAAAATACTTTTAATTTCCCAGCGGAGAAGAGGAGGAAGGGTGTACACACACACACACACACACACACACACACACACACACACACACACTAATACATAAGAAATAGCGGCAGGTAACACAGACTGGAGATTGGAGAATTCCCCCTTCCCTTCAAACCCTACATGCATCCTGCTGGACAAGACTCAGGGCAAACTCCGCCCTTTCTCGGGAGTTCTCTTTGGGGGGAGTTTGGACAAAGGCGAGGAGGATTCTGAGAAAGGCCGCCGGACCAGACGCCCGAAGGAGCGCGAGGAAAGGTAACAGGAGGCTCCCCGAGAGAACGGGGAGGTAAGGAAGGAAACAAGACGGAAGCCATTCCACACTTCCCTTTTAAAAATGATTTGTGTTCTCTTCAGGAGACATGGGCCCTGGGGTAGAAGCAAATTTTAGGAGGCTCCGGGGAAAGCGGCTTTAAAAACGCAGCCGGTGCCCTGGCTGGGGCTGCAGGCTGGGGCCCTGCCAGGCTGCCACCCATGCTGCCTTGCACAGGGAAACGGTTTATACGATATATTTGGCTTTCTCCGAACCTCATGTAGCATCAGTTCCTCACAATTACCTCGACCTCACCGCGCCCCCTTCCTCTTGCGGCAAAGCAGCGGGGAAAAAAGCACTGGCCGCAGCGTGACTCACCGGCCCACCGCCCGCCCGCCCGCCCGTCCACAGTGCCTCCCACCGGATGAAGGCTCCTGCTGATGCCCTCCACAATTACTCTACATGGAAAACTGTAACTACCAGTAGGTGTGTTTGTGTATTTGATTTTTTAAATTTTTTTTTTATCATTTATTTATTTATTTATTTATTTATTTTTACATATTTTATTGATTTTTTTTGCCCCCTCCCTCCCACACTGTGTATTTGATTTAAAAAAATATATATATATTTATTATATATTTTTACAGAGAGGAAGGGAGAGGGATAGAGAGCTAGAAACATCGATGAGAGAGAAACATCAACCAAGGTATGTGCCCTTGACTGGAATCGAACCCGGGACCTTCCAGACCGCAGGCCGGCGCTCTATCCACTGAGCCAAACCAGTTTTGGGTGTATTTGCTCTTAACCCCAATAAATATTCACCTCCTTCAAAGAGTTCCTTTCTCTTTGGGTAAGGATCGAAACAGAAGAGCTATTTATAAGCTGTTATTCAACTGCGAGAATATGAATTACGTTTACAACCTTGACCCCTTCCCTTCCTCACACTTCTGAGGGTGGGTGGGGCAGAACTGGCTGCCCTGCGTGTGTGTGTGTGGGGGGGGGGGGGGCTGACGGGGGGGTGGAATGGGGGGCAGTGATAGGGGCCTCCCATCGGTGAGGAGGGTCACCTTCCTCAGGTGGCAAAGACCGGTTACCAGGCTGTCACCTCAGCAAGTGCAGCTTCCTGCTCTGCTGTGGGCTGCTATGGCTGGGAAACTCCTTTGAGTTTTGGTCACTTTTTCAACAAGGAGGGGGGGGGACCCGGCAGGTGCTGCACTTCCCAGCAGTCCCGGCTGAGCGAGGCGTGGCTGCCCGCAGGAAGGAGGGGAGCTGGCGTGACCAGGAAAGTAATAAATCATAAAAAATTACGGCGACACCGATGAAAAGTTACTCTTCCCCGCCTCCCCCCGCAACAAGGATTACAAAGGACAAGGGAGATATTTCCCATTGGATAATGCTTGAGTGCAGACTTTCTCGGGCCCACACGTAATGATGAATGATTCTGTTTATTAAAAAGCAACGGGCTCACGTACAAGTTCTAGAAACTGGGGTGCACCCCCATCCACACAACGGCCTGGCCTGTTCCTCACGTCTAGAAGGTGGCACCGAGACGCAGGAGGCCCGCACACGGGGGAGGAGCCCGGCTCATGGAGTCCCCACCTGCTTTAGGGTGGGGACTGGCAGAGCAAAGGTGAGTCTGCACAGAGGCCAGGGCTGTTCCCTCCGAAAAGCCACCTTCACTGCCCCGGGCACAGGCCTGAGCCCGCTCTCACCGCCTCAGCGAGCCAGGAGGAGGAGGAGACCAGGACCTGGGGAACCACCGCGGCCTTCACAGGCCCAGAGAGGGAGGCTGTGTAAACACAGCAGGCCCGGTGCCGGGCAGGGCCTGGGATGGTGATCACACATCTGACCCTCTTCAGGAGGAGCTGACGGTAAAATATTTCTAGACAGCAGCATGGAAATAGGCACCGAAACCTCAGTCCCACAGATGGATACGCATGCCGTTGCCTAAATACAAAGGAGATGAACACACTCTCTTTGCTCCAGCAATTGCATTTTAAGGAATTTACCTCCAAATACATCAAGCTCTCAGGACGAGGCTGTTCCCGCAACAGAGTGTGCCATGGGAGGATGGGGGGATGGGGGGCGCAGCTCCTGGATTGATGAGATCACGGTGCCCTTCCCTCAGAGGAGCTCTGCGCAGTCCCCGGAAGGAACCCGCTGCGCTGACAGGGGAATATTTTCGGGACACGCCAACTCATGAAAACAGCAGTCAACATGTGGGTTAAGTACAGAATGACCACCTTTGTCTAAAACTTTTAGAAGACACTTTATAACTGTTTCCTTGAAAGATGCACAAGGTTCCGTTGGGGAAATGGGGTTTTGGGAGAAGGTGACTCTTACTCTACGTTTTAAACTTTTCTGCCCAGTTTACATTAAAAAAGAACAAACAACCCATACGCATGTCTTAGTAAAATTTTGAAATAAATGAAAACATTGAAAATGATGCCAATATAACAACCAAATATTTTCTGGGGGTGCTGGCTGTGCAGGTTCCAGGTTTGAAAGGTGGGCTGGGCGATGTCTGCAGGGGAAGACGGCATGTCTGGGGTGATTAGCGGGTTCCCCAGCTAATAGGGAAGGTTACGTTATCAGCATCTCACCTTGGGAAGCAGAGGAGCCATATTCCTGCTGTGGAGAGTGGGCCACGGTCACCCCAGCCTGGTCACCCCAGCCTGCCACAGCGCCGAGCTTGTTTATTTTTGACCCCAGTGAGTCATAACAGGAAAGGCACACAACGACCTGTTAGACTTCAACCTTTTAATTGACAGTCTGGGAATTCTACCTTTTGCGGTTCTGCTATTTGACTGGAACCAAACCCTTGCTTCCATTGCAAATGATGGAGAGATTATCAACCATAAATATTTGTCTCCTATGGGCCAGACTCAGCAAACCAGCATCGGGCTGGCAATGTATTTCAGCTTTATGGAATGAGATCCACTCCCCACTATTATGATGATGTAAAGATGTGTGTTAGAAGCATGTGTGTGTGTGTGTGTGTGTGTGTGTGTGTGTGTGTGTGAGAGAGAGAGAGAGAGAGAGAGAGAGAGAGAGAGAGGAAGTACAGTAAACAAAGTGTGAGGAAGGAGTGTTTCTGGAAGAGTGAGGGCTAGTCAGTAGCCAACCCAACACCCCTTCTCCCCTCCATCCTTGGGGTAATTGGAACTGACACCAAACTCAGAAATATGTGCCGATGCTTGACCTGGTCTAATCTAATTCACACAGCACCTGCAAGACACTGTTACTATTTTACAAAAGGGTGAGGCTGAGGCCTGGGACTATAAGATACCAAGTTGCCTCTGCTTGGAGGGGCTGGGGATGGGAGGTACTGTGTGGGGTGGTGCAGAGTGGGTGTGGGTGTGTGGGAGACCCAATGAATGCAGAAGGTGAGCTCATTTGTTTCATTTATGGAAGTATATGTGACCCAAACAAAAGTTCCATATTTATGTGACATTTCCACACAAATGTCTCAGTTAATCCCTGCAACAAAGGGACAGAACTGAGATGCATCATCAGGATTTCTGGCTTCCTTTTCTTTCCTCTTTCTGCTCCACCACGTCTAACTTCCAAGGC